CTTCCTTCCTTCCTTCCTTCCTTCCTTCCTTCCTTCCTTCCTTCCTTCCTTCTTTTCTCCTAGATGAGACATTCTTCAATCTCCCTTCTTTGGAGATAGACTTTTAAACAGGGTCCTGATGTCATTAGCCTTCCATATTTTACCACTGTTTTGCCTAGTTTTTTATTTACCATAGAAAACTCATGAAATTGCTGTATATATTTTGAATGATAACACTAGAAGCCATCACCCAGTCTTTCCCTCCCTCCCTCTACTTTAATGGTAGTTTTCCAGTATTTGCAAACTTTTAAAAGATGGAAATCACTAAAGGTTTCTCTACATTAATAATTTTAATTATTTTAACAATAAATTCAACTTTCTCAGAGAATTCTGGGAATAGCAGTTCTGTGAAAAATCTGTCAAATAATGTTCTCTACTCTTTCCAGAAACTTTTGCATATATCTGTGGCAGCTAATGAAGCTTACATACAGTTGTAGTGTAGATACATCCTTGTGATTTCAAGCATGCCCTTTCTTTTCCCCCATTTATTATACTGACTTCCACCAAGTGGATCAAAGGGTTAGGTATGAATTGTTGTTAATATAAAGAGAGTAATCCGAAACAGAATGTATTGAGATTCAGATCATCAATCTGAAGGCCAACTCTAGATATTTCTGATGCTAGTGAGTTCCACCGCAAACCTATGTGGGCAACAGCAGCAATCAATAATCATTTTTATTTCCCACAATACCGCTAGAGAGCTTAATATTCTGCCACTTTAGGGTACCATGGGAAATGAAAATAGCAGCCATCACTTAGCATGCCCACTTAAATTTACCACAACCACCTGGTTGTGTCAGTGTCAGTGATACTCTGGGCAATTTAGATGGCCATCCACCTTTTTTTTTTTAGCATGACATAGACCAGTGTTGTCCAAACTTGGGCACTTTAAGATGAGTGAACTTCAACTCCCAGAATTCCCCAGCCAGCCAAGTTTGGACAACACTGACATAGACCATACCAGTTTAGGAAGCCTCTGGGCCCTGAGAGTGATGATGGTCTGAACAATAGTATTTGTCTTAGAAAAAGCAAGAAGGGCTGCTGTTCTTCAGGCTTCACAAGTTTGCTTAAAAACCACTATTGAAGTATGTATGCACAGTACACAAGAATAATCGGTTCTTCCCTTTCTTGCTTGCAAATTGAGGGAACAATCCCCCAAGTCTCACTGCTATGCC